TAATTAGTTCTATGTCCACTTTAATTGATTGAATGAAGTATCTATTAATTGCGACTCGGTATTCAGGTACTGCATCTGCTTAAGAGGTATTTGGGTGAATATGTGCATGGACTCTCGACAGAGGCTCTAAGGATTAGTGTCTGGAAAGGTTGGCTTTTCTTTATTTTTGTTTGTTTATAATTTTATATAGATATCTATGATGCATCGACAATTCTTGTGTGCAAAGAATGGTTATGATTTAGTTATTTCCATTGAGTAGGTGAAAAGTGACATCTATATAGAGATGTAATCTCTTGGGTTTTCTTGCTTTTCAGGGGATGTTGTTCTTAAAGATTTGAAGTTAAAGGCGGAGGCTCTGAATTCTTTGAAGCTTCCAGTAGCTGTCAAATCCGGTTTTGTGGGAACCATCACTTTGAAGGTTGCTATTTTTTCTTCTTCTCTTGGTGGAATTTTGATGATTTTCTCTAGACCACTGTTACCATTCTACTATATGCTAGACTGTCATAGCTGATTTCTTCTTTCTCGAAAATTTGCCTACTTGAGCTGTGGAGAACTTTATGTTGGATTGGTAATCCTTGCCGGAGTTTTCTTCACATAAGAATTCCTATATATGCCTACCACTTAGTGATGCGATATCTATAAATGCTTACATGACCTGAAATGTATGCATGTGTGATGCTCTCATGTAATGATGCACAATAGCAGTGCTGGAAATTGAATTGGTTTAGATTATGAAGAACATGTTGTTTGGTAATAGTGATCAGAGTGGAAAATTTTAGGTCATTTTCCATATGAATAGTGAAAAAGAGGTTATTAACTAAGAAACTTGCACTACAAAGAATTTTTACTGAGAACGTGATATCAGTTGTAAGGTGAAAATGTGCTATGATAAAGGGAAGTTGCACATGATTTAATTGGATATATTTTGGGCTACATTTGTTGTCAAACAAGTTTTTACTACTCTTTTTTTTCTTCGTCAAAATTTCTATATGTTTGGTTGAATTACACATTCTAAAGACTACAAAGTTACATGTTTATTTGGATAATTCTTGGGCGATAAAAAAAATAGATATGCGTGTTATTATGTTTGTTGCATATGTTGAAATTTTTTGATACGAAGTCAAATGTCATGGAGATTGCAAGTCAGGGAAATACCCTTCCTGATTTCTGAGCGTAGTCTTCTATTTAACGCCATAAATGCTACTTTTGTGAGGAAGCTCCTGCAATTATGGCTTGGTAGCAAATCTAGAACTTTGAAATGACTCATACAAACCTTTGTTTCAGGTTCCCTGGAAAAGTTTAGGGAAAGAGCCAGTCATTGTTCTGATCGACCGTGTCTTCGTTCTTGCTTATCCTGCCCCTGATGGCCGAACACTTAAGGTATTCTGTTGGAGCTGTTGTTTCTTTTTGATTGCCTTGCCTTGTAGTTTTTGACTTTGGCTGGTATCAAATTTGCTTACACTAATTGCATACTAGGAGGAAGACATGGAAAAGCTTCTAGAAACCAAGCTTCAGCAGATCGAGGTTCTAAATATTTTTGGCTGATGCAGCTTCATACATACTTCTGAATACGATTGTTACATGAGACTCGGATTTTCCTTTTCATCTACAAGATAAAATTTTATACTATACTGAGTTATCATTGTCGTGTCTGTATTTAGGAAGCAGAATCAGCAACTCTTGAAGCAAGGGCAAAATCTAAGCTGGGCAGTGTATGCCTCTAAACTTGATAATTTAGTTTAAGTTTCTTATTTTCATTCCTGGGGGTATATGTYTGAGTGACGCTCTAACTTTCCTGATCAGATTTAAGGATTCCTTATCATATATTACGAATATATGAATCGCTAATTACTAGATTAAAAAACTCTCATATGCTAAACTTGTGGCTCTGTTATGGTTGGTTCTTTGCAGCCTCCTGCAGGAAATTCATGGCTAGGTTCGCTTATTGCTACAATTATTGGTAATCTGAAAGTATCCATCAGCAATGTACATATTAGATACGAAGATTCTACCAGGTTTGTGGGATTTTTTGCCTTTTTATTTGTTTCCCTTCTAATTTTGTGGTCATATCTAGCTCTTGTATTCACTATTAGTGTTTATTGGAGACGACTGAGAAGTACTTTTTTTAGTTTTTTTTCTTATTTCAACAATATTTTCTCCAGTAATCCAGGGCACCCCTTTGCTGCGGGCATCACCTTGGCCAAGCTTGCAGCTGTTACAATGGATGAGGAAGGAAATGAGACCTTTGACACTAGTGGTGCTTTGGATAAACTGCGTAAGGTTAGCTTTGTTTTCTTTCCTTTCTATGCTCACTTGGGCGAAGCAGTTGAAAGTGGACGCAAAGCATTTTGTTTCAAAGTAGATGTGTGTTTGGACTATATATCTATGATTCTCTTGGGACGTTTGAGTTCTCTTGTGGTTCAAAATCTTTAAAGATTTCCCATTTTGTAGTCTCTTCATCAACGAAGTTCAAGGGATCTTCTCCAAGAGGTTTCAACACAAAGGAACATTAATTGCATTTTTAAAATAAAATGATATTTGTTTTTTATGCCGTAACGACATAGGTGAATGAGGTAGCAGGTTAATATTCTTCTAGGCTCTGATTATACAGAATAATTTTGGAGTTTAAACAACTCTTTTTATTTGTTTTCTTTTGTCTCTCTGCAATTAGTAATTTTCTCTAATGTTTTGTTTCCCTTTTCCTTTTTCTGTGTGCGTTTCGAGTGCTAATTATAGTTTAAGCTAATTAATAATATGCTGATATGTTCATCTGAAACGTTCTTTGTTATGAGGTCTGTTAATTGAATACCTGAAGTGTGATGAATGATGCTGATGCTACTTGACTTGACCAAATTGTTTTAGGCTAACACATGGTTTCTGTCACAGTCGTTGCAACTTGAAAGGCTTGCCCTGTATCATGATTGGAATAGCTCTCCCTGGGAAATAGAGAAGCAATGGGACAATATTAGTCCTGAGGAATGGGTTGAGGTTTGGTCCTTTGTACCTTTAGCTCGGTGATTTTTTGTGTGTGTTTCCCCCCATGTTATTAGTCAAACGAAACGGTTTTTGAGGTTTTTTGTATTAAACCATCGTTTGTCTTCCTTCAGATGTTTGAAGATGGCATAAAGGAGCAGACTGATAATAAAACAAAGTCGAATTGGGCCTTGAATCGTCGCTATTTCTTGTCCCCTATCAATGGGTCCCTTAAATATCACCGGTTAGGAAATCAGGAGAGAAATAATCCAGAGATTCCATTTGAAAGGGCATCAGTTGTCCTAACTGATGTTAACGTGACAATAACGGAGGTACCACTTTCTGTACTTCATATATTTGGTTCTTTTTTTTCTTGGGGAAGTCTTCCTCATTTCCTCCAGGGTTACCCGTAAATTAACTGTTGGTTCTGATTTCTTTGTCTTTCTCCAACTTTCTGAGATCCATTAGAAGTTATTATCGCATCTGCTTAGCGATTTCTTTTTTCTTTGTTGAGGTGCTGGACTCAAGTCACTTGTATTTTGTCTTCCCCTTTCTCTTAACAGGAGCAGTATCGCGATTGGATTAAACTAGTCGAAGTTGTTTCCAGATACAAAACATATATAGAGATTTCACATTTAAGGCCCATGGTTCCTGTTTCAGAGGCTCCGCGTTTGTGGTGGCGCTTTGCTGCTCAAGCTAGTTTGCAACAAAAGAGATTATGGTACATGTTTATTTCATTGTACTCCTTCTCATGTTGGATTTCACTGAAAAAGTAGGAAAATAAATGGCAATATTTATTAGGCAAAGCTATTTGGCTTTTAGTCTTGCATAGTTTTGCACCTTTTAGTAACAAATGACTGTACTATATCTATGGAGTGATTGTATATTTTGATCTGATTTTGAATAAATTGACCCCATTTCAGCTATCGATTTTCCTGGGATAGCATTCACCATCTTTGCCAGTTACGTCGGCGCTATATTCAGCTGTATGCTAGTTTTCTGCAGCAGTCAACAGATGCTAATTGTCCAGAGATGAGAGAAATCGAAAAGGACCTTGATTCCAAAGTAATTCTGTTGTGGAGGTAATGATCATATCCCCACATTCTGAGTGGAAAGCATGTGGTTTATTAACATGGTCGGATTCCACCTTCTGATGCAACCATTGAATTCCATCCATCAGACATTTGATACCTGGACTGATTTGGGAAATTCACATGACCATGGTTATGTTCAAATATACTGAGACATCTGCCTTTCATCTTCCTAGTGGTTGAGTTAGCTATTGCCTATGTCGTAGTCGCAGGTTGTAGGTGTAGTTAGGGTCGCATCTATGCGCTTGATGTAGGTGTGTGGTAATGCCCTGTTATTATAGGGCGCGTTTGTGATGTTGGTTAAGTCTCTTTGTCAGTTCAGATGCATACCTTAGTAAAAATGATTTGACTCATTTTCTGTTTGTGCTCCCATTTTGTTCTTTTGAGTAATGCTCAAACTTGGTGAATCCAAATTGTTGGATTTGCGCGATTTGGAATGCCCGGTAGACTTACTGCCACTTTTAACTGGCAATAATTTATGTGCTGGCGGTCCAATCCCTGGATTGATTACATTTACAAAATGTTTGATAAAATGCTTGATTACATCTAGTCTTAATCATACCACTTTTTGGGTCTGAAGTTCAAGCTCTGCCATGATTCCTCTCTATTTTCATTGAGATTGTCAAAGGCACTGTTCTGTTTATGTGCTTTTTCTTCTTCTAACTTATCTTATCATGTATTTTGTTTTTTATGTTGGATTGGCGTAGGTTGCTTGCGCATGCAAAGGTAGAATCTGTAAGGTCAAAAGAAGCAGCCGAGCAGAGGAAACTGAAAAAGGGTGGTTGGTTCTCATTTAACTGGTCAGTGGAGTTTGTTGCTCCTTTCTGAATATATAAGTCTTGCTTTTTGGCTGTTCAAATTTTTGTTTTCTTCTAGTAGCCATGAATGCAACATCCCATGCGGAAACTTCTTTCTTTTTCTCCTTTTTATAACTTTTGTGGCTGCTATCTGTATGAAGGCGGACAGAAACCGAAGATGACCCTGAGGTTGATAGTGTGGCTGACGGGAAATTTATGGAGGAAGGATTGACTAAAGAAGAATGGAAGGCCATAAATAAATTACTGAGTCATCAGCCAGATGAAGAGATGAATTTGTATTCAGGAAAAGATATGCAGCATATGACTCACTTTCTTGTAACGGTATCAATTGGTCAAGGTGCAGCTAGGATTGTTGATATAAATCAGATCGAGGTGCTGTGTGGTAGGTTTGAGCAGCTCGATGTGACGACCAAGTTCAGACATCGGAGTACTCAATGTGATGTATCACTTAGGTTCTATGGCTTATCTGCACCAGAAGGTTCTCTTGCTCAGGTCTGTTTTCAATTTTTATCTTATGTCCAGGGTCAGCGTTATCTGTGATTAGATTCTCTATTCCTTACTGTAAAATGAAGATTTGACCTCCCCCCTCCCCTTTTTGTTTCATGCTGGCTTTGCAGAGTGTATCTAGTGAGAGAAAGACAAATGCCTTGATGGCTAGTTTTGTGAACTCACCAATTGGAGAGAACATTGATTGGAGGCTATCAGCCACAATATCTCCTTGTCATGCTACGGTAATCTCTTGATATGTATGCTCTTGAAACATGGACCTTTACGATCTGCCTAATAGTTGCATAATTGTAAGATACGTCCAGAGTATAGCAGCGTCCATCTAATTTATAGCTGGTGGTATTGAGTGAAGTGTGTGGTTTCCTGAAGATTGGGGATAGCCTATTGTCAGGGCCTTAGAGAGAGTTTTTGAAATTTCAAGTTCCTGTATGCTGTTTTCTTCCCTTTTGGAAGTTATGGAGGGAGAAGGTTATAGGTTGTTAAATTTTATTTAAAATTAAGAATTAATTGTAACTCTCATGGGCATGTGGTTTTCTAAGTTTGGAATTCAGTTGTATATACTTAGAGAAAAAAAATAGTCTAGCTAGCATTGAGAAGATATGCTTCACGACATTTAACACCGATGATGGAAGCTTTATTGTTACCAAGTCCTGCTATGACTAAGGGAGCACGATTAAATAACTTGGTGCTTGGGGATAGCACAAGTCGTTTTCTTTCACTCTTGTTTAATTTTGACGCCAAACATGTCTGAATTATGTAGCTACATACCCAAAATTGTTTGATCTTCTGGAATTTTTCAGTTGAATTAGTTCAATGCTTTCGATGGCCTTGATAATTTTTCATTTTTCCTGTCTTGATATTTTTTTCTGCATAATTGTTCCATCTTGCCTCCCTATTTTATTTTGTTCTTGTCATTCTATCTGGTACCACTGCTTTGAGCATAATTGGGGATTTTGTGTATTTGCAGATCTGGACTGAAAGTTATGATCGTGTATTGGAGTTTGTGAAGCGAAGTAATGCAGTTAGCCCTACTGTTGCACTGGAAACTGCAGCTGTGCTTCAGGTACTGGTGTAATGCTCAGTAGCAAATTTCTAACTCTTACCCTGTTTCTTAGATAAATTTTATTGCATATATGCTCATAGTGACGATAAGGCATGTATTTCAAATCTTCTATGTATGAACATGTACGCAAGTCCTTAGAGATTGACCAGTCATCGATTTTTGTAGGTTCATTTTCCTGTGGAGTTATGGGCTATAGAATTTTATTTTATTTTCACTGTTATTAATTACAGATGAAACTAGAGGAAGTGACTCGACGGGCTCAAGAGCAACTTCAAATAGTGTTGGAGGAGCAAAGCAGGTTAGAACAATTTAATTTTTCTTTTATATACCTTTCTTATCATTGTCCCTAAGATCAGAAGTGGACCATTTCGTAGTGACTAAAGTGATTTTTGATGCATGGAACAAAAGCTCTTGTCCTAGTAGTCTGTTAGAAATAAGATCTAATTATTTTATCATTGTTTTAGATGTTACAAAGTTTTCACCGGCTTTCTTTTATGCTTTGCCTCTGGTTTCTCAGGTTTGCTCTCGACATCGATCTTGATGCTCCAAAAGTGAGAATTCCTTTGAGGACTTCAGGATCGTCTAAGTGCAGTAGCCATTTCCTTTTGGATTTTGGTAATTTTACACTAACCACCATGGTAAGTTTCCAGACTAGCCCTTCGTGTTTACTAGTGTTTCTCTTGTGTTTTCTTATATTTCTTGTATAATTGCAGGATACTCGGTCTGAGGAGCAAAGGCAAAACTTATATTCTCGGTTCTGCATTTCCGGAAGGGATATTGCTGCTTTCTTTACGGACTGTGGATCTGAAAACCAAGGTTGCAGTTTACTCATGGAAGATTTCACTAATCAGCCAATTCTGTCCCCAATTCTAGAGAAAGCGGACAACGTTTATTCCCTTATTGATAGGTGTGGAATGGCAGTTATTGTTGATCAGGTATTACTCTGTGCGACATTTTATTTTCATGACTAATTGTTAGAACGAGACGTTTCTACTTGACACGGATCTATTTCTTGTCGAAGATCAAAGTACCTCACCCTCGTTACCCTTCCACAAGAATTTCCATCCAAGTGCCAAATATTGGTGTTCATTTCTCGCCAACAAGATATATGAGGATCATGCAACTGTTCGACATCATGTATGGTGCTATGAAAACCTACAGTCAAGCTCCTGTTGATCACATCCCAGATGGGATTCAACCTTGGAGTCCTGCAGATCTTGTTAGTGATGCTAGAATCTTAGTTTGGAAGGTATGCACTATTATGTAAATGTACTTTTCGAGCTTCATTGATCTGTAATTCCCCTTGATATTAATTAAATCTGTTGTTTCAGGGTATTGGCAACTCCGTTGCTACTTGGCAACCTTGTCACCTTGTTTTATCTGGTTTATATCTGTATACATTTGAATCAGAGAGGTCACTTGATTATCAACGTTATTTATGGTTTGTGCTATTCTTCATTCATTATTTTCTTTCATGTACTCTCTTTCCCTTTTTTCTTTTTCAAGTACTATTTTCTAGTACAAAGATTTTTGCATGTGTTAATCTAAGACGTTTAAATTATAAACTTTCTATGTGCAGCATGGCTGGCAGGCAAGTATTCGAGGTTCCACCTGCAAATGTTGGTGGCTCGCCATACTGCCTTGCTGTTGGTATAAGGGGAACGGATCTTAAAAAGGTAGGCTAAGCTGCTTAACTGTATATAATAGGAGTCATGTTAGAAACGACAACATTATAAATTGTCCAGGAAATGAAATGTACGCTCTTGCTGAATTGGGTATGCTTATGAAATCTTGGAATGGCTACCTAACTGAACAATAAAATGGTCGCGAGTGGTGATGATTCTCTGGATCTTACCTTTATTGGAGTTGCTTTCGAAATTATATTAGAGAAAACGCCAGCTCACATATATTCTTGTACAACCTCACTTTGTTTGTGGTATTTTCAGTTGCTTTTTTTTAGTAAAGATGATGGATCTTATGCATTCTTCAGGCCCTGGAATCTTCTAGCACCTGGATCATAGATTTTCAGGGGGAGGAAAAGGCAGCTTGGTTGAGAGGACTTATCCAAGCCACCTATCAAGCTTCTGTACATCTATAAAACCTCTTTTGTTCACTGGGCTTTCTTTCTGCAATGATCATCTTTGGTTAATGCTGATATTTTTTTGTCCTTTTGTAGGCTCCTGTGTCCGGGGATGTACTGGGTCAAACAAGTGATGGTGACTTCCATGAACCTCAGACCAGAAATTTGAAAGCTGCTGATCTTGTTATTACTGGTGCTTTAGTTGAGACAAAGTTGTACTTGTATGGAAAGGTTAGCTGTGACCAGCTTTCTACTTGTTTTTATATGCGTGCTATCAGTATGCCATGTCGTACAAATTAGCAACTTTCATAGTTGCTTGAGATGATACACCATTTAGATTCTGTGAAAGCAACTTCACCTTATTTTACTTGACTTTTGAATCCTATATTATCTCCCGCAGATCAAAGATGAATGTGATGAGCAGGCTGAAGAAGTTCTGCTTCTTAAAGTTCTTGCTGCCGGAGGAAAGGTTTGTGATTGTTGGACATATTTCAGTGTGTTATGCTGATATTGAGGTAGTGATATGCATGCGTTTTGTGTCGTGGGTTCTAAGGAGAAAAGGGGAAAAGGATGAGGTGCTGGGTGTGCAAAACTTAGACAACCAAATCCCATGTTATTTAGGTTCTGGTTAAAATAATATTATTTCACTAAGCCTGGCTAAGCTAGTGATCATGAGATGGAAACTACCAACAGAGCCACAATATTGTTGACTAAGGTTTATTAAATGATAAATTTCTTAGCGTATTATTTGCTAAATCATGTTGCATATCTCAGGAGCACCACTTGCCAAGTTATTCGCTGCTTGGATGATTGCATTTCTTTTACTTTATCCCCTTCCTGATATGCCTTGTAATGTCTTTTCAAGCTGGAATTGTTTGTGTAAGCTCTATACATTAGACTAGTTTTCGATAGAGGCAGTAATGTGTTTGCTTTGCAGGTGCACATGATAAGTTCAGAGAGTGGCTTAACCGTTAGAACGAAGTTGCACTCTCTGAAAATCAAAGATGAACTTCAGCAGTCAGGAAGTTCTCAGTATTTGGCTTACTCTGTTCTGAAGAACGAAGACATACAAGACTCATCAGCGGCATGTAATTCTTTTGACAAGGAGATGTCTGTAGGACATGCAGATGATGAAGATGCCTTCACAGATGCTTTGCCAGAGTTTCTGTCTCCTACAGAACCAGGTACTCCAGATATGGATATGATTCAATGCAGCATGATGATGGACTCTGATGAACATGTGAGACTCGAGGATGCTGAGGGTGTGTTTCATGAAAATGATACATCTCAAGGAAAAGGCCTTTGCGACGAGGTATTTTATGAGGTGCAGGGTGGTGAGTTTTCTGACTTCGTATCAGTTGTTTTTTTGACGAGGAGCTCCAGTTCCCACGATTATAATGGAATCGACACACAGGTATGTATTGTAAGACCATGGGAGGACATCTTAGTTTGAGAATCTACCATATCAACGTTGCTAATTTCATTTCGAAATCAATTTCAGATGAGCATTCGCATGTCAAAACTGGAGTTCTTTTGCAGCAGACCGACTGTAGTTGCTCTAATTGGTTTTGGATTCGACTTGAGCACTGCAGCATATGTTGAAAATGAAAAAGATACCAACACTCTGGCATCTCAAAAATCTGATAGTGAGAAAGAAACAAATGATGAAAGTGGACGCATTGAAGGCTTACTTGGATATGGCAAGGACCGTGTAGTGTTTTACCTGAACATGAATGTTGATAGTGTGACTGTATTTCTCAACAAGGAGGATGGTTCTCAGCTTGCGATGTTTGTACAGGAGCGATTTGGGTTGGACATCAAGGTACGAAATATTGGCCTTAGTCTTGACTCTATTCATATTGTAATTGGGTTTTTAAAAGTTGAGCTTGTAGGGTCCTCTAGTTAAATGTTTTATGCACAGGGAATCAGTTTCATTTAAAATCTGTTTTAGTTAACCAGTCTGCTGGCTTAATTTGTTTGTTTTCTAGGTTCACCCGAGCTCTCTTTCAATAGAAGGGACTTTGGGAAATTTTAAACTCTGTGACAAGTCGTTAGACTCTGGAAACTGCTGGAGTTGGCTCTGTGACATACGTGATCCTGGTGTTGAGTCTCTTATCAAGGTATTGCATATATTTAGAAGTTGCGGACTGTTTATTGCAGCTTCTGAGTTATTGTTTATTCTAGTTTGGCGTGGTTGTACATATGCTTAATTCTTGTTTTACTCTGCAGTTCAAATTCAATTCATATAGTGCTGGAGATGACGACTATGAAGGATATGATTATAGCTTATCTGGTAGACTATCAGCTGTTCGCGTTGTATTCCTCTACAGATTTGTTCAGGAGGTACCATTATCACTGAGCCTGCCTCTTACCTGGTTATTTAAAGTGCAACCAAAACCTATATAAATGCTCTTCTTTAAACATCATTTTATTGTGGACCAATCCAATTAAATGGTTTTCAGGTTACAGCCTACTTCATGGGACTTGCCACTCCTCATACTGAAGAAGTCATTAAGCTTGTTGACAAAGTTGGAGGCTTTGAGTGGCTAATCCAGAAATATGAGATGGATGGTGCTACTGCGCTAAAACTGGACCTTTCGTTAGACACTCCAATAATTGTTGTTCCTAGAGATTCTCTGAGCAAAGAGTAAGTAGAAGTGGTGTGGTAACACTGCAGTTGTCATGGCTCTCTAGCGCTTTGAATACTTCTGGGTATATCTGTTGTCGCAGTCTAATAGTTCCCATTGAAATAATTTACATAGAATCTGGCCTTTATCCTGTAATTCTAAAGAATTTGAAAGCTTGAGGTCTGCAAGAAAAGGTTTATTTCAATTTTTTCTCTGAATCTTGGTGAAATCTAAATACACTTTTATTGCTGCAGTTATATTCAACTTGACCTTGGTCAGCTGGAGGTATCAAATGAAATAAGTTGGCATGGGTGTCCAGAGAAAGATCCCAGTGCTGTACGTGTAGATGTTCTGCATGCAAAGGTACATATATATTACGTTAAGTATGGAAGAATTTTATTTAACGTGTAAAATGAATACATTAGCGTGATGATTATTTTTATTGTTTTTTTGTTGTGAAGATTCTTGGACTTAATATGTCAGTGGGCATTAATGGTTCAATTGGTAAACCAATGATACGTGAAGGCCAGGGGTTGGACATCTTTGTCCGGCGCAGCCTAAGAGATGTTTTTAAGAAAGTCCCAACACTTTCGGTTGAGGTTAAGGTACTGGTTTTCTTCTTCTCTATATGTTTGACGTACTTAAATATTTGCTTTTGGCGTCAAGAACCTAGACTTCAAACACAATAAGTTTTTTTTTGGTCTTTGCTTTTTGCTTGCTAGACTAGGGATGACTTTACTTATAAACGTTATTATTGTAAAAGCATTGCCTTGCTATCTGAGACCAAGGATGGAGTAGTCACAATTATATATTATTCACTGTCTTCTAGGCAAGCTTGAAACTGCGAGTCATCTTACAGTGTTTTTGTCCTTTGTTTATTATACTTACCATGCCTTGTTTACTTTCTCTTAACCACTTGTATCAGCAGTCATTGTTTTTGGGACTAACTATTTTCTCAATATTTGCTGTGCAGATTGATTTCTTGCATGGTGTGATTTCTGACAAAGAATATGATATTATTGTAAGTTGCACATCCATGAATTTGTTTGAGGAGCCAAAGCTACCTCCAGATTTCCGTGGTAGCAGTTCTGGTCCCAAAGATAAAATGCGTCTACTGGTTGACAAAGTTAATTTGAATAGTCAGATGATTATGTCACGTACAGTTACCATACTGGCTGTAGATATCAATTATGCTCTTCTTGAGTTACGTAATAGTGTGAATGAAGAGTCGCCATTAGCTCATGTTGCGGTATGTGCTTCTGAGCCTGATTCTGCTATTTCCTTGTATATTTTTTTCTCTAGGAACAATACCAGATATCTAAGATACCAATTTGTCATTCATTTTGATTTAACAGCTTGAAGGATTATGGGTATCCTACAGGATGACGTCACTATCTGAGACAGACTTGTATATTTCAGTTCCTAAAGTTTCTGTTCTGGATATCCGTCCTAACACAAAGCCTGAAATGCGGCTGATGCTAGGCTCTTCGGTCGATGCTTCCAAGCAAGTTTCTTCTGGATCGTTTCCCTTTTCGCTTAATAAAGGAAGCTTCAAGCAAACCAACTCTAGGGCTGTTCTTGATTATGATGCACCATGTTCAACGATGTTGCTGATGGATTTTAGATGGCGAGCATCCTCTCAGTCATGTGTTTTACGGGTTCAACAACCTCGTATCCTTGCTGTTCCTGACTTCCTTCTTGCAGTTGGTGAATTTTTTGTTCCAGCTTTGCGTGCAATAACAGGAAGAGATGAAACATTGGATCCAACAAATGATCCAATCACTAGAAGTAGTGGCATAGTTCTCTCTGAGGCTCTCTATAAACAGACAGAAGATGTTGTGCACTTGTCTCCGTGTAGACAGTTAGTAGCAGATTCACTGGAGGTTGATGAGTATACTTATGACGGATGTGGTAAGGTGATCTCGTTGAGTGAACGAGGAGAGAAGAATCTAAATTTAGGAAGATTAGAACCCATCGTAATCGTTGGGCATGGAAAGAAGTTGCGGTTCGTCAACGTGAAGATTAAGGTTGAGACTCTTTTCTCTTTTTATTTATTTAATAGTAAATACATACTTCTGTAATTTTACATAGCCACTTTGCATGCTAAATTTCTATACATATTCCAAGCGCTTATAGTGTGAAGAGGAGGGGACTTTCTTGTTGTAATTATTGCTTCTCATTCCTCTTTTTCCAAGATTCGTGATTTCTGCTAACTGCTTGTTTTCTGTTTTGCCTTCTATGTGGCAGAATGGAATGCTTCTGAGCAAGTGCATTTACTTAAGTAACGATAGTAGCTGCCTATTTTCTCCAGAAGACGGTGTTGATATTTCAATGTTAGAAAACACCTCATCTAATCCTGAGAATGTGCTTGGCAATGCGCACAAAGCATCGGATGTTTCAGATACTTGTCAATATGATTTGAAGTCTGGCCAGAGTCTTACCTTTGAAGCTCAGGTAGGTTTACTTGAGGTTTTTTGTTTCCCACCAGTTTACTTAAGTTTTGAACGCCTATATACTTACTTACTATTTGTATCATTATTCCCTGATTTTGGTGTTTCTTTCTTCTTTTCTTTTGACCCATGACATTTGTTTATATAGAGGTCTCTTCCTCAACCTTTTTTCAGTAGCCATCTTCCACATATATCTGATTCCAGACAAATATGATTAGTGAAACTGGAAAGTCTTGTTTTACTGTATTTGTCAATTTCATAACTTGTTTTGTGCAGGTTGTTTCTCCAGAGTTCACATTCTTTGATGGTACAAAATCCTCTTTGGATGACTCCTCTGCTGTAGAAAAGCTTTTGCGAGTGAAATTGGATTTTAATTTTATGTAAGTACAGCGTTTTCTGAATCTTAGTTTTAGTGATTCATGTTTATCAACATTTAGCTCTGAGCGCACTCAACAACCCAATAATTCCGTTGACTAAAATGTGATTGCTTGATTACTTATCTTTATGCATGTATATGGAAAGAATCCTACTAAAGTAATCCCCATCTGACCTCCACTACATCCTGCTCATGACGTTGAACAAAGTTTTTTTCCTTCCCTACTTGCTTGATGGATATTTAGTTTCATGTTGCATTGTTGATATATTTTTGCTATTGTTTCAACAGGTACGCCTCAAAAGAAAATGACATCTGGGTTCGAGCCTTACTAAAGAACTTGGTGGTTGAAACTGGTTCTGGTCTTATCATTCTTGATCCAGTTGATATCTCCGGGGGATACACTTCTGTCAAAGAGAAAACAAATATGTCATTAACGTCAACTGACATATACATGCACCTTTCTTTGAGTGCTCTTTCTCTCCTACTGAATTTGCAGAGCCAAGTAACTGGAGCCTTACAATCTGGAAATGCTGTTCCTTTAGCTCCATGCACCAACTTCCACAGGATTTGGGTTTCACTGAAAGGTATGGTTTAACCTTAAAAAGCTTTCTAAGTTTTTGGTCTAGCCACATGGTCCATTGTCTTAGGAAACTGTAACAAAAAATTACACTGTTGATTATTTCGTTTTGGGGGTGGTGAGCAGAAAATGGACCCAGGAACAACCTCACAATTTGGAGGCCGCAGGCTCCTTCGAACTATGTCATATTGGGAGATTGTGTGACGTCAAGGTAATATAAAATTAGTGCCTCATCTGGCTGCACGCTTATCTTGTTGTTGTGTGCCTTTTGGCTTGAATTTTTTATCCCTGCAACAAAGCTCACTATGGTTATAGGCCTTTGTTCTCGTGTCAAATATATACTTCACAAAAAAAAAAATTTCTTGGAGGAAAAAAACCTAAGTTTTAGTCGAGACATATCAAACCATTTCCGTAACAGAAATAACCAAGCTCTTATCATATTGTAGTTGTTAGCTTAGCGGATACATGGGTGTAACATGTCAACCTCTCTTTTGTTATACCGATGCCAGTGCTTACAACTGTTCAGATAGAGTTCAGTCCAGTGTACAGATGTTTTCTTCTTCTAGAAGTTAAAGCTACATTGTATTCTTAATTGCCTTGAAAATTTCCCTTACAGGGCAATTCCTCCTACACAAGCAGTAATGGCAGTAAGTAATACATATGGGCGCGTGAGGAAGCCAATTGGGTTTGATTGTATTGGCCTATTCTCTGTTATTCAAGGTTTAGAAGGGGCTAATGGTCGACCTTCCCGTGATAGCAATGAGTGCTCCCTCTGGATGCCTGTAGCTCCTGCTGGGTACACTGCTATGGGTTGTGTAGCAAATTTAGGAAGTGAGCCACCACCTGATCATATTGTTTATTGTCTAAGGTCTGACCTTGTATCTTCCAGCAGTTTCTCTGAGTGCATATACTCTGTGCCCTCCAGCACAGTATTTGAGTCTGGATTTAGCATGTGGCGTGCTGATAATGTACTTGGATCATTTTATGCTCACTCCTCAATTGAGGCTCCTTCCAAACAATATAGTGCTGGTCTCAGTCATTGTCTTCTTTGGAATCCCCTTCAGTTGAAGACATCTACTTATTCTGACCCATCATCTACAAACGGGTCTCAGAGCGAGAAAACAATTGATCAGACTGGAAGTTCATCAGGATGGGACATTGTCAGGTCAATTTCCAAGCCAACTAGCTATCACGTTTCAACTCCAAATTTTGAGAGAATCTGGTTGGACAAGGGTGGTGATCTTCGTAGACCTGTCTCAATATGGAGGCCTGTACGACGTCCTGGTTTTGCTGTATTGGGTGATAGCATAACTGAAGGGTTAGTAAATTTGTAACTTTTATTTTGTCACTGGATCAGCTAGGATGAAGTGATTGTTTTTTTTACATAAGTGTCATAACCTTTTGAATTCTTTTTCTCATTAGATTGGAGCCACCTGCACTGGGGATACTCTTCAAAGCAGATGACTCTGAGATTGCTGCGAAACCTGTGCAGTTCACCAAAGTCGCACATATTTTGGGGAAAGGCTTGGATGAAGTTTTCTGCTGGTTTCCTGTTGCACCCCCTGGTTATGTTTCTCTAGGATGTGTTCTTACTAAATTTGATGAGGCGCCACATGTGGATTCGTTCTGTTGTCCAAGGATTGATCTTGTTAACCAGACCAACATATATGAAGCTTCTGTCTCAAGATCTTCAAGTTCAAAGTCTTCTCAATGCTGGAGCATTTGGAAAGTTGATAATCAGGTTCAACAACCATTTAATTTTTGATGCTGCATCTCTTTTTCTTTGAGAGCTCCCAATTGTCAACATGAATTGTTGGACCACCTGTTTCTGTGAATCAACTACCATCCATTTTTAGCTTAACCAAAAGTATTTGCCAATCCTTGTGTAGGCATGCACTTTTCTTGCACGTTCTGATCTTAAAAGGCCTCCAAGTCGGCTGGCTTTTGCTGTCGGAGAATCTGCAAAGCCGAAGACACAGGAAAATGTAAATGCGGAAATTAAGCTGAGATGCTTCTCCCTGACACTTCTAGATGGCTTACATGGAATGGTATGTTATATGGTCAAAGTCATTAGGCAATTTGTTGGAACCCAGTGTTTACATCTTATCCTGTTCTGAATGCTCCCAGATGACTCCCCTCTTTGACACAACTGTCACCAATATCAAGCTTGCAACTCATGGTCGTCCTGAGGCCATGAATGCAGTACTCATATCCTCAATCGCTGCTTCAACATTTAACCCACAGTTAGAAGCGTGGGAGCCTCTTCTGGAGCCGTTTGATGGAATATTCAAGTAACGATAGTAACATTTTTTATTTATAATGCGACTTAACTGATAGATAAAACTGCTTTTAATCATAGTATTTGGAATAATATTATGATTTTTCGTTTTCCATTTGAAGGTTGGAAACATATGATACTGCTTTGAGTCAATCATCAAAGCCAGGAAAACATCTGCGCATTGCTGCTACTAATATTTTGAACATAAATGTCAGTGCTGCAAACCTTGAAACTCTTGGTGATGCTGTTGTTTCCTGGAGAAGGCAATTAGAACTTGAAGAAAGAGCGGCCAAAATAAAAGATGTAAAGTATTCTTTATTCTTTTTTCATGAAAAGATATAATTTCATAACTTGTTACTTACTAGTCTGCTGTGGTACAGGAATCAGGTGTCTCTCGTGAGAGTGGGGATCTTTCAGCTTTTTCAGCTCTTGACGAAGATGATTTTCAGACCATTGTGGTAGAGAATAAACTCGGCCGTGACATATATCTGAAAAAGCTAGAGGAGAACTCAGATGTAGTTGTAAAATTGTGTCACGACGAAAACACTTCTGTCTGGGTTCCACCTCCAAGGTTCTCCAATAGGTTAAATGTTTCGGACAGTTCTAGAGAAGCTCGCAATTACATGACTGTACAGATTCTTGAGGCTAAGGTTTCTACACATTTATTTTAGCATCATTTGAAATATTTATGGTCTATTAGAAATTTTTATGGTTAAGGTGGTATTTTAACTTTTTCTGTGCAGGGTTTGCATATCGTTGATGATGGGAACAGTCACAGTTTCTTTTGCACCCTGCGCCTCGTTGTTGACAGTCAGGGTGCAGAACCACAAAAGCTTTTTCCTCAAAGTGCTAGGACGAAGTGTGTGAAGCCTTCCATTACAGTTGTCAATGACTTGATGGAGTGCACTTCCAAGTGGAATGAACTTTTCATTTTTGAAATTCCAAGGAAGGTAATAAGGGAACAGTTAATTTGATGCTTCCTTTTTCATCTGTTCCTTCAAACATGCGATATCATAAGCATTTAAGCCTAGAGCTAGCATTGAATTGGAACATTATATCAAGACTAGTGCCGGTGTGCAGTATTTCTTTTGAACTGGATATAATTGTTTTGGAACTTATCTCATATGACTACATTTTTCTGTTTTATTCTGTTATAGGGACTGGCTAGATTGGAGGTTGAGGTAACAAACCTTGCTGCTAAAGCTGGAAAAGGTTCAATCCTATGACTTCTTAGATCTTTTTTCTTTGACCCATTCTTCATGCATAACTATGAATTCAACTGTCCTTTTGTATATGTGTATTTTTTGTTCTTTTTGAGAGTGAATTGACATTCTTTATTGTCATTTGAGTCCTCGGATTGTCTATACCTGAACCTGATACATGAATCATAGGACTGGACATGGTCCCAAGAGTTCAGTGAGTTGAGATTGTGCCTATGTTACATGATAGTAAGCTATTGACTAATACAGGAGAGGTCGTGGGCTCGCTTTCATTTCCTGTTGGACATGGGGAAAATATTCTTAGAAAGGTAGCTTCTGTAAGGATGCTAAATCAATCAAGTGATGCTGAGAATACAAGTTCCTATACGCTTCAGAGAAAGGTTAGTTGTTTTTCATTTATATTAGAGTATGTTAATGTTCTTCTCAAGCGTTAGTAACATACATTGTTAATTCTCCATTGATTCATGAAATGAAGAATGCTGAAGATATACATGACAACGGGTGCTTGCTTGTGTCAACATCTTATTTCGAGAAGACTTCAATCCCCAGCACACTCAGAAATAAAGAAAGTAAGGATTTTGATGACGGAGACACTGGTTTCTGGATTGGAGTTCGCCCTGATGACTCATGGCATAGCATTCGCTCGCTGCTTCCGCTCTCCATTGCTCCAAAATCCCTACAAAATGATTTTATTGCAATGGAAGTTTCTATGAGAAATGGAAGAAAGCACGCAACATTCAGATGTTTAGCTACAGTTGTAAATGATTCAGATGCCAATCTGGAGATATCCATATCTTCTGATCAGAATGTCTCTTCAGGAGCAAGCAATCATAATGCTTTGATTGCCTCTAGATCTTCCTATGTTTTACCATGGGGATGTTTATCCAAGGATAATGAACAGTGCCTACATGTCAGGCCAAAGGTTGATAACCCTCATCATTCTTACGCGTGGGGTTCTTGCATCGCTGTGAGTTCTGGTGTTGGAAAAGATCAACCTTTTGTTGATCAAGGTTTGCTTACTCGGCAGCATACTATGAAACAAAGCAGCAGAGCATCTGCTTTTTCTTTGAAATTAAACCAGCTTGAGAAGAAGGATATGCTTTTCTGCTGCCAACCCGCCACTGGGAGTAAGCCATTCTGGCTTAGCATAGGACCAGATGCGTCAGTTCTTCATACAGACCTTAATACACCTGTTTATGATTGGAAAATCTCTATTAGTTCTCCTTTGAAGCTAGAAAATAGACTTCCTTGTCCAGTCAAATTCACAGTGTGGGAAAAAACAAAAGAAGGCACATATCTTGAGAGACAACGTGGTGTAATATCCTCAAGGAAGAGTGCTCATGTATATTCAGCAGATATTCAGAGACCTGTATATCTTACATTAGCTGTCCATGGTGGGTGGGCTTTGGAAAAGGTAACCTTAATATTCTACTGATGAATCTACCCACAGTTTGAAAAAATTCTTAAAACCATTACTGAATTATAATTTTCTTTCGTAGGATCCTATTCCTATTTTAGATCTATCTTCAAGTGACAGCGTGTCATCCTTTTGGTTCGTCCATCAACAGAGCAAAAGGTTTGTAACTCTTCTTTTCCAATTCTCATCTTGACTGGAATTGTTAGTCTCGTTAGCTTCTGCTTATTACTCCAGATGTTTGAATATGCGTGCATTTGTTAAAAAATGGGTTTAAGAGCATTTTATGGCTCTTGACCATGGAAGGGTCACAGTTAGTAGCTGAAACCAATTTATTGATGAAAACTTATTATGTTGAGAATTATCAAATGAAACGGTTTTTCTTTCTTTTAATAACCTGATACCACGTTCCATGATTTCTTTTTTTGCCGCATCATACCTTTTCTTATCGAATTTCAGGAGATTGCGTGTAAGTATAGAACGCGATGTGGGAGAAACAGGAGCCGCACCAAAGACTATAAGATTCTTTGTCCCATACTGGATTACAAATGATTCATATGTTCCTCTAGGCTATCGAGTGGTGGAGATTGAACCTTCAGAATCTGTGGAAGCTGGCTCACCCTGTCTGTCTAGGGCTTCCAAATCTTTTAAGTTAAATCCTGGATTTTCGATGGAGAGGAGACAACAGAAGAAAAATCTACGAGTGCTTGAGGTTATTGAGGATACGAGTCCTATGCCTAGCATGCTTTCTCCACAAGAATCAGCTGGCCGGAGTGGGGTTGTGCTGTTTCCATCTCAGAAGGATTCTTATGTCTCCCCACGAATTGGTATTGCTGTCGCAGCTCGGGATTCTGAGATCTATAGTCCTGGAATTTCTCTTCTTGAGCTTGAGAAGAAGGTGAGTAGCGTAACCTTAAATGATTTGCTTAAAGCTAATGGCTTGAATTGTCTGCGCTGTCTTTTATTATTTAAACCATTTCTGATCGCTTTTGTATGAAGGATTTTCCTCCTAATTTTTCTTTAGTTGGTTGGCCTGGCAATATTCTCTTGTTTTATTAACCATGAATCCTATTTCAGGAACGCATAGATGTAAAGGCATTCTCCTCAGACGCCTCATACTTCAAGCTGTCAGCAGTACTGAATATGACCTCTGACAGAACAAAGGTCAGATATCACCTTTGTTTCTCATTGCTCTGGCATATTTGTCTCTGAATTCAAAGTTTTGCTCCTGTATGGTGTTTTTGTTGGTGTTATTTTACCGCAGTTCATATTTGGTCGTGAAAACGCCTACAGATTAGTGTGATATACAATACTTTGTTTAGTCTCCGCTTTCTCTCTCCTGTTTTCTGTAAAAGGTATACATGATGTTGCTATATATTAGGCTATTAACTGTGTTATATTATATCAAGATGATTTTGAGGCAGATCTGTGCTTATTAGTAATTTGAACACTAGCTTTTCTGGATAGTCACATTTTTGGGGTCAGAATACTGGGTTCCACTTGGTAATATCTTACCCCCAACTAAATATTAGATAACTTAATCTTTTGTTTGCAGGTTATTCAACTCCAACCACACACTTTATTCATCAACAGGGTGGGCATGAGCATCTGTCTTCAACAGTGCGATTGTCAGACAGAAGAATGGATTAATCCTTCTGACCCTCCAAAGCTTTTTGGATGGCAGTCTTCTAGCCGGCTTGAGTTGCTGAAAGTATGTGATGTACCTTCAAGTTTCTGTATTTTTTTTAACGATGATTAGTGTGCTAATGGCGGATTGGACATTTTCAGTTACGAGTGAAGGGATATAGATGGAGCACGCCATTCAGTGTCTTGAGCGAAGGTATGATGCGTGTCCCTGTTGGAAGAGAAGATGGGACTGATCAATTGCAGCTAAGAGTACAAGTCAGAAGCGGGACAAAGAACTCTCGTTACGAAGTTATTTTCAGGCCGAACTCTGTCTCCGGCCCTTACAGGTAAACCACATGCTGCAGTTATCTACCAGATGATTTTTTTTTGTCTAATGTTACTATATTGTTTTTGCTTGGATTTAGATAGTACATTTTCCAACTGCTTGGTCATATTTGCACTTATCATTAAAACATTTCTGCAACATCTGTTCCTCGAACCCTGTTATCAGTTTGGTGAATAAATTAATGCGTGGAACCTGCGTGAAATTATGTTGATACAATAACGCATCCTGTTTTCTGAATCCAAATGTGTTCCCTCTCCTATATCTATGGATTTTCACTATGTGTATCTGACTATATTTCTTGCCATTTTTTACTAGGATCGAGAACCGTTCCATGTTCCTTCCTATTCGATATCGCCAAGTGGATGGTGTCAGTGAGTCCTGGCAATTTCTTCCCCCTAACGCGGCTGCTTCATTTTACTGGGAAGATCTTGGTAGACGGCATCTATTTGAACTCCTTGTTGATGGAAACGAGCCTTCAAAATCAGAAAAATTTGATATTGATAAGATAGGCGATCATCCACCACGAAGTGAGAATGGACCTACCAGACCCATACGAGTTACTATTTTAAAGGAAGACAAAAAGAACATTGTTAGAATCAGTGACTGGATGCCTGCAGTGGAGCCTACTTCAAGCATAAGCAGAAGACTTCCAGCATCATCTGTGTCCGATTTATCTGGAAATGAATCTCAGCAATCTCATCTTCTGGCCTCGGAAGAGTGCGAGTTTCATGTGATTGTTGAACTCGCTGAGCTTGGAATCTCTGTAATCGATCATGCTCCTGAGGAAATACTGTACATGTCGGTGCAAAACCTCTTTCTGGCATATTCAACTGGCTTGGGCTCTGGGCTTAGCAGGTGAGTTTATACGTTCTTGTGTAGCTCTATTTTACAATGTAAGGGCCATCATTTCACTGGTGCAGTCATTCTGAAATGGACATACGGATTTTATATCTAATTTGAAAAATGTGGTTAGCGTCTCTTGCAGTCAGTGGTAATGTGTAAATTTCCAAATAATTCAATGCAGAAAAGGATTTGCTTGAGTTTTCCAACTGACGGCATTTACTAAGATCATGAATTAATGTTAAAACGCTAATTGTTTTTCAGGTTCAAACTAAGGATGCAAGGATTACAAGTTGATAACCAATTGCCATTAGCTCCAATGCCGGTTCTGTTCAGACCACAGAGAAGTGGAGATAAAGCTGATTACATTCTGAAGTTTTCTGTTACTTTGCAATCAAATGCTGGTCTTGATCTCCGTGTTTACCCGTATATAGGTTTCCAGGTAAGCTTATACAGTTTCTGTTTTCAACCTGAAATACGTCTATTGTTTTCTGAATTTTGCTCATATTGTGATATTTCTGTACCAGGGACGTGAAAATACTGCCTTTCTGATAAACATTCATGAACCTATTATCTGGCGTATTCATGAGATGATTCAGCAAGCCAACTTGAGTAGACTATCCGATTCTAAGTCGACAGCTGTATCAGTTGATCCATTCATTCAAATCGGGTGTGTACATATTTTTCCTGATATATTCTATGCTCTTTACAGAATGAGTTTTCCATTCACCACACTTACCTTTATGGTTATACCCCTAAAAAAAATGCAGAGTTCTTGATATCTCAGAAGTCAGATTTAAAGTATCCATGGCCATGTCTCCAAGTCAAAGGCCAAGAGGAGTGCTTGGATTTTGGTCATCGCTGATGACTGCTCTTGGGAATACAGAAAACATGCCAGTAAGTTTTCCAGCGTAATTCATTTGTGCGAAAACTGCCCATCAATACGGACTTTTGTTGCATGTGAATAACCTATTCAAGATACCAATTAACAAAATTTGGCCAATTTATACATAGAGGGTTTATTAATATGTGGTAGTTCAATGGTTTATTAATATGTGGTAGTTCAATTTTTTTCCCATTATCTACGTGGCTCTGGACGACCACGACTTTCACTTAGGTATTGGAAAAATGATGTACCCATCTTTTTTTACTCATAGGATTGGCCAACATACATTAATTGGTTTATGACCATCATATTTTACTCTGGATTGCCGCTGTGATTATTGTCGACATATATATTTTTCTTTTTTAATTGTTCTTATCTTCAAACAGGTACGCATAAGTGAAAGATTTAATGAGAACATATCCATGCGCCAAAGCACTATGATCAATAATGCTATTAGGAACGTAAAGAAAGACCTCCTTGGCCAGCCTCTTCAGTTGCTCTCAGGTGTTGATATTCTTGGCAATGCAAGCAGCGCGCTTGGACATATGAGTCAAGGCATAGCTGCATTATCAATGGATAAAAAATTCATCCAAAGTAGACAGAGACAGGTTCATTCCTTGCTTTGATTTTTCCTTCTTGTGCATGTTACGGTTTCGTGTAGATACACCACAATAAATATATGTTGCCTTCTATCCCTTGATCGAATATGTAGAAATTTTTCTTGTAACACCAGAATTTGCCTTCTGATACTAAATGCAAGTATGGGCTTGCCACAGTGTTTCTTTCCTGTGTTTCCTTTTGTTAGTACACGCTCATGTATTTCTCATATGTGGCAGGAGAACAAAGGTGTTGAGGACTTTGGCGATATTATCAGAGAAGGAGGTGGAGCTCTAGCAAAAGGCCTGTTTAGAGGAGTCACAGGCATATTGACAAAGCCTCTCGAAGGTGCAAAGTCTTCTGGTGTCGAAGGCTTTGTCTCCGGTTTTGGGAAAGGAATTATCGGTGCTGCTGCCCAACCTGTGAGTGGAGTTTTGGATCTTCTGTCAAAGACCACTGAAGGTGCAAATGCCATGAGGATGAAGATAGCAGCGGCCATCACTTCAGATGAACAACTTCTCCGCCGGAGACTTCCAAGAGCTGTTGGTGCTGATAGCCTGCTTCGTCCTTACAACGAATACAGAGCACAAGGACAGGTACATTTTGTAACTCATGACCATGCATCGCACTACTCGTCTGTCTCTTGGTTAGTTGAGGAGGAATAGATTTACTTGTGTTGATGAAATATTGTTTCTGATATATATTGCATTTGCAGGTCATATTGCAGTTGGCAGAATCTGGATCATTCCTTGGCCAGGTTGATCTGTTTAAAGTACGTGGGAAGTTTGCATTAACAGATGCTTACGAAAGTCATTTCATTCTTCCAAAAGGAAAAGTTCTGATGATCACACATCGAAGAGTGATACTGCTACAAGTGAGTCGCACAATAATTTCTTGCTCTTTGTATATATATAAGGTTGAGTCTAATGTTTCTCCAAGAAATCCTCTTGACATTTGCAAACGTTTAATATTTCTAGCAACCCTCCAACATAATGGGTCAAAGGAAGTTTATCCCGGCCAAAGATGCGTGCTCGATACAGTGGGATGTTCTATGGAATGATCTGGGAACCATGGAGCTGACTGACGGGAAAAAAGACCAACCTAACTCTCCACCTTCGCGGCTTATTCTCTACTTGAAATCAAAGCCACATGATTCGAAGGAACAAGTCCGTATTGTGAAATGCAGTCCCAACACCAAGCAGGCCTTTGAGGTTTACTCTGCCATCGATCAAGCTATTAACTTGTACGGGGATAATGCGGCAAAGGTGAGAAGAGCTTCACGGTCACTTTAAATTTACAATAATGACACCCCGTATCTAACCATTTGCATTACATGTAAAATTATTATGCCAAACAAGGAACCTAAAGTTAGATGAGGTTTTTGGTTCTTTGTATACGTTTTAGGGAATGGTGAAAAACAAAGTGACAAGGCCATATTCCCCGATTTCTGAGAGTTCATGGGCTGAAGGAGCTTCTCAACAAATGCCAGCTTCGGTTACACCATCATCAACCTTCGGCACAAGCCCTACGACCAGCTCAAGTTAAAAGCTTGAAGCTTTCTGAATCTTTGAGCTCTCTCACCTTCTGATATCCCTTCTCGGCCTTCACGGTAACGACTCTTTCCTCTTCTCCTCTGATCATTTCTCCATTTGGCTTTGTTTGCTGATAACCGTCAAGAGTCCCAGACGCAAATTGTCTTAATACATAGACTACTTAATGGTTAATGATATTTGTCTTAACCCGCTCTAATCTTTGCGTTTGAATGCAATAAGCGTTTGCGACCTGTAAATGCATCTGATCTTCTCTAATAGACATGCTTTTGTTCTCCTCAGGTGGGCGAGATGAAACACCAAAAGAAGATTCAATTTTTCTGGTAAATCAATGATATCGTAGAA